TAGAGAGAGAGAATTAAAGAAATATTATCCGGTATTCGCGCATTCTTAGGAGTTTTATCTATCCCCCCCTCCGCCAAGATAAACACCATGCCTAAATTTAAGACGATATCTGTTCCGCGCACAAAAATTATGCTGTGCCGCGTTCAATTCTATAAAACTTGCCATGCGGTGTCCATTTCCGCACATTTAGCCCATGATGCAGTAGCAGTTAATCCGATGATCCTAAGTTTTCAACGCAACGGAGCATGTTGATTAATAAATTTACTTGTTCCTTGTGTTGTACGCTTTTTACAGTTATTATATAAATTTATCTGATGTTATTGGTTTAATTTTTCTGAGTAATTGAGGTTTAACGCTTAAATTAATAGTTTTCGCCCTAGTTCTCAAATAAATGTTTTTTTGTATTTCAGTGATCATGGGAGCCAAAAAGGATCCCAAGAAGGACGCTAAGACTCCTTCCAAGACTCCCAAGAAGAAGGAAGGAGGTGGAGGCAAGGCTAAGAAGAAGAAGTGGTCCAAGGGAAAGTCCAGGGACAAGTTGAACAACTTGGTTCTCTTCGACAAGGTGGGTACTAACGATAGTTTATTCTCACATTTCCGGTATATTCCCAGAGAACGATTTTTGGACCCCCCCCCCAGGCCCTCCCCCCTCCCCCCCCTCAAATTAATTTCGTACAGGGACAATGCATGGATATAATTGATGTGGGCGCAGCGCCTGGCACTACAGCCTGTTCTAGCCTCAGCCCTAAAATTTGTCTGAACCTTAAATAAGAATTAAATATTTGGGGCTGTTCTAGAGAACGATTTTTGGACCGCACCCCCTTCCTATTAATTTTGTACATGACTACTTATTTTTCAGCAATGGGGATGGTGGAGTTGGCACATTTGATGTAGGGGGGGGGGGGCCCTGCCTTCATTTTTGGTTCAAATCTTCCATTTTTTTGGGTGCACGCCTTATTAATGATCGAAATTCCTAAAATCTAATCCAATTGAATTTTTATGACCCCCTAATGACCAACACAAATAGAAAATATTTCAACTATTGCTTCATGCATATCAAACGAAAGCTAGGAACCTAGGGAATACAGTAGCAGCACCAGATCCATTGTTTGACCTTCTAATGACTTAAATGACCTCCAAAAATGAAAATGTTTTAACTATGGCTTTATGCATATCAAACGAAAGCTAGGAACCCCGGGAATACAGTAGCAGCAACAAATCCAGTGTCAGACATTCTAATGACCTCGAATGACCAAAAATTGATAAGAGGGGGGGGGGCCGGTCCTAAAATCGTTCTCTAGGAAATTATCTAATATTTTACTGAAATGAAAAATAAGTGTACATGTACAAAATTCATTAAGAGGGGGGGGGGGGCCCAAAGATTTTTTTTTTAGGACAGACCCATTTATATTTCTTCCAGGCAGTGCTTAGGATTCATTATATTTGTTTTTTTTTTTTCTCGCTTATTATGTTTAAACGTGATGAACCATTCAGAAATCGGGAAATCGTTTAATCTCTCATTTTCAATAGTTCTTAATTGGGGAAAATCCTTTATCATACGCGTTATAAAATTATCGGATTTAGTAAAACCAGGAGCTCGAGCAATATTTTGATATCCACCATTCTTCAGTTTTCAGCTCCAGACGAAGTATTTAACTCAATTTGGTGTACGCTTTTCTTTTCTGGCCTGAGCCTGTTTTCTCCATAGAAAGTGGTCGTGTATTTCACGTACTTAGGGGGACGAAATGTTGGCCGCTAGATGTCTCATGCTAAATTCTTATTTGATAGATATTTCTCCGTACATTTGACGACCAATATAGGAGACGTCAAGTTGTCGACTAATGTATTTTATGGAAGGAAGGGCCTCTGGCTGGGAAGTTTAATATAAATATTAAATTCTCGCAAATCTCAAGTGCACACATTGGAAATCTTCATCAATATTCTCAAGTTCCTCTCCTCGCCCCATTTCAAAATATATTTTCTCCTGCTTTATCTATAGAATATAAAGTTTTAACATGGGTGGCAAAACTTAGTGTTTATGATGTTTATTTGTCGTAGTAGTTACATGGGCGCCTGGAGATATTAATTACACTTAATTTAATATTTTTGTTTATTAAGGGTACTTATGACAAGCTGTACAAGGAAGTTCCCACCTACAAGCTTATCACTCCCAGCATCGTTTCTGAGAGATTGAAGGTGAGATCTTCAGGGGGTANGGGGGGGAGAATATTTCTAAATAAGGTGCGTTAAGAGAGTTATTTATTGGCTGTAATTAAAAATAAATATTTTGTACTCTGTATGACCCCAAATGCACTTGAATTTCTCTGGTAAGCACTTCCATATACCAAAGCTTTGTATCGCACATGTACGGTTATTTGATTGTTTGACTTACTTATGCAAACATTGTCATTCAAGGTTCGTGGATCTCTGGCTAGGAAGGCTCTGATTGAGCTTGCCGAGAAGGGACTCATCAAGGAGGTAAGAATTAAATCTTCATTATGTTTCCCTACACATCTGTTAACGTACAGGGTTACCAACCAAGGAGTAGAGTTCATTGACTCCGTTAAGAAATTTTTACTTTTCCTTTCATATTTGATTGTCTGCATGGAACTTTTTCCTTTTGGTCCAATTATAAAATAAGCCATTTAATGACATTATTCAGGGCAGAGCCCGTTCTCTCCATAGTTAGTGGTCGTGTAGTTCACTACTCTGGGGGACGATAGTTGGGCAGCTAGATGTCTCGTATAAATCAAGGAGAATTGAATGGAAGGAGGGGGCGATAGAGTTTCCGTACACTTTGCTGTGACGTTTTTGGACTACTGAATAACTAGTTTTTGCGTAACAACAATAATAAAGATTGTAAACAATAACACAAATGAGACATCTGGCATCTCTGGCGCGTTATATGAAGATTCGCCGTATACTAACTCATGTTTGTTTGCATTAGATCGGCTGCCTTTGTTATTGTTGTTCCGCAAAAACTAGTTCTTCAGCAGTCCAAAAACGTCACAGCAAAGTGTACGGAAACCATATCGCCCCCTCCTTCTATTCAATTCTCCTTGATATTGATGATGTAATGACTCAGAGGTGTATATTTTCATGAAAATTAATTTCCCTACTTTTGGAAATAATTTCCCACCCATAGGTTTGGTATGATTGCGCCGAGCGGATTTTTTTTGATTTTTCTCTTGCACCTTTGTAGACCGGATCGAGATTTTATATCTCAGTTTGGGGGAATAAATGTGCAACATTAAAGGTTTCTCGTATAACTGTTGCAGACCCCATGTCTGAATGGATGTTAAGAAACCGACAATTTACTAAAACTATTTTTGTTTGCTTTAGGGAGGGGGAGGGGGGGGGTTGAGAATTAATATGCGAATTTTTTGATCCGGGATCATTTTAAATATTTTTTCTGTATTCTAATATTTGACGTTTAGGTTGTTGCCCACAGATCTCAGAAGATCTACACCAGGATGATCCAGGATACTGAGGATGAAAAGGCTGAAGAGAAATAAATATTTTTCTAGCATTTCATTCCTTTAACTTCTTGTATTTCAGAAAACTATGAAAATGTCGGAAGGGGACTCGCTTGTACAGGGTAAGTACATTTTTTGTACTCGCTGGAACCATTTCCTTATATTTGTTTTCAATTCGTCGTTAACTTGCTTTCTGATCCACCTAGTATTATTGATCCTGTGAAGAACTACAGCGGAGAAGGGTTGGGTTAATCCTAGCTCTGATCTGAGGAAGTTCCCTGGAGCTTGGGCTGAAAGAGCCAGAGATTAGATCTCTCCTGTTAGATTTCTAACAGTATTCTCAAAGCAAAGTGATGTAGGAACCCTGAATCGGGTAACTCAACAGGGGCCATTCTCATAGGATCGAAATCTAGTTTTAATCTGTAAGCAATTTAACAACCCCCCCCCCCCCATGTAAATTTTATATTTCAAGGATTTTAATCCTAGGTTTGAAATCCCGGTTAGCTGCGAAACATAAGCTGCAAGAGAAACTGGTTCTCACCGCTGGAGTTATGAATGCAAATATCAGTATTCCCAATAAAGAAAAAATTATTGTTGAATGGTTTGGAACTCTCTTAGGGACTAAATATTCTCTTAATTCTTCCGAGGACCTGGAGATAAACCAGGTTTGGGACGGATTTCTTGTTTGTCTCCGTCTGGCAGAACTTAATTTGAATTTTACGTTGGAAACTTCATTTTTACAAGATATTGTAGATTTTCTGGACTTGTCAAATCCAACCGTGGAAGCTGCCATGAATATTATTTTGAGATTAATTAACCGATCAGAACTCAATATTGGGGAAACTTTATGTCTAATCTCCAAGATTTGGAATAAAGATACGAAGCATTTGCTGACCGAAGAAATTTTGAAGCTTTTTAACAAACTTTTGAATCACTTTAAACCTACACCCGACCTAGGACTTGGAGAACTACTCGCCAAAATGAGCTTGGATTTGGAGTTGTTGAAGAATCGGTTGTTCCTGAAAATATTCCGTGTATCCGTCTTCCACAAACTGAGTGGATACGAGAACTATTTTAAGATTTTAACCCAAGCTGACCCTGAGAAATATATCCCAACCCATGAAGTTCAGATGTTTATTGAATTCATCCTCTCCGGGGGAGAAATATCGTTGGCATTTGCTGCTTTATCTGGACCTGAATGCCCGTCTTGGTTGCAGGGTCATCTGTTCAGTTTAGCGTTATACCTGGAGGGATATAAACAGGTTTATCATGCGGATTCTCCTTTTCTCATCCCGCTGTTATCCAACTACAAACCTTCATCTGATAGATTAGTAAGGATATTTAATCATGCCCTTCCTTTAGATTTGAAGTATTCCATAAATGAGGAGCTCACGGTTAATAATCTAATATCTGGTTGTGTCAAGTTTTCAATAGAAAAGTACAAAATGAAGTCAAATATGTCCCAGCTCCTTTTCTCCGTATTCACTCATCATCCTCTCATCTTGGATCCCTTAACAAGCTTAATTTTGACGCGATACATGCTAGACTCCTCGGCTCCAATACTTACCTTCCAAACAGTTCTGGATCTTTCATTGAAGCTCCGACAGCTCCCTAAACTGATCTCCAGGTTGTTCCTTTATCTACGGACTAGTTCAGATTTAACTTTATCCTGGAGACCGACTGATCTGAAGTTGTTCGGAGAAGCAATCTCTCAGGTAATATAGTTCACGAGTTTAGACATTCAGATTAACTGGAATGTGAGTTTCCAACTACTTTTGTAAAATTATTAGGTTTTCATTACTTATTTTATCTTAATTTTCAATCTATTCTAGTCTGTATATCAAGCTTCTAACAGAAACATGATATAAATATGAAAAGAAACCTTAAATATATGGAAAATTTAGATTACGTGACCATATTGATTTTATCATTCCAAGTTTTTGTTCATATTCTACTTTGTCTTTTTAGGTTCCGCGGGTTCAAAGTGTGGAGATATGGAAATCTTTGCTCTACCATCTCTCTGCCGACTGTATAAAGGTCCTGGATACTGATAAAGGGATACAAGTCTGGAGAATAGCCATCCCTCTCCTCTCAACAGTTCTTCAAAACGCTCATCTATCAGATCATAATTTACCTGCACCGCTTGCGGTCAGGGTGAAAGATCTCATTAGTTCAACGCTCAATGATGTGCTAAAGGCTGAATGTTTAGATCCTGCGAGAAAAGCTGATGTTCTGTACAGCGATCTAGCCTCAAGTCTGATCGAACTGGTTGAGCTGATAACTACGTATAGAGGTTTTGAATTTGAGGATTTATTTAGTTTCCGGGATCAAATGATTAAAACTGCACTTCGGAAGAAAGAAATGTTGGGTTATTCTAATGTCATTGTGCAAGGGCTTCGAGGTAATAGTTCTTATACTGACAAAATATGGAAACAGTTTCACGAAGATCTTTTGTCTGATTCTAGAACTTTAAACCAAGTATTCAGAGTTACTCCACGAGAATATCTTGGAGCTCTGAACCTTGAAGAGAATATTGAAGAACTAATAGAATCCCCCGTGTACAGTGCTATAGTTATATTCTCGGAACTTGATAAATTCAAGAAAGATAAACTTCTTGGTCCTGTATTGAACCTAGAACTTTGGACTTCTCCCGATAATTGGAATTCTTTACAGTCGGAGCTAGGACTAGGGTTGCAGAGAATACTGGAGCAAGTTTATAACCTACAGGGTGGTGTCCTCACTCCAGGGTTGGATAAATTACTCCAGCTCCCGGTTGAATATCTACCCAAGACTCAGAAGCTTGGACTTAATGTTCTCTGTATTATTCAACTACTCTCGGGAGAGGATATTAAGAATATTGATGAACTTCTGTGTCGGAGCTTTGAAGAGACTGATGTGTTCCGGTTTATCAGTTCTTCTACGTTCCTGGAGAAAATCCTTCCCCTTGAATTCTCCTCCCACGCCTTCCTAGAAGTAGTTTCTAGTGTAGTTGCTAAGTACTCCAAGATGATGACGGAACTGAGCGATGATTTTGGAAATTTCCAAGATGGAATCTTGAAGGGGGATCTAAATTATTTACATTTCTTTGTGTCCTTGTTGGAGAACTTGTCGCACCCCATCCTACATGTTGGAGTTGTGAAGGAGAAGAAATCTGCTGCAGAGAAATTATCCCTGCAGATAACTAAGGTGGGTTAAATATAATCAATTGTCTGAATTTTAACATTTATTCAATTTTTTTTGCTTATACTCACGAATAGATTTTATTTCCTAGTATGTGAGGAAGCATGTGCAGAATTTTTTTTTTAAAAAAAGGACCGATTAATTGTTTGTTTTAGATCTTGTGTAAGCATGTGAGAAAGGAGGAAGCTTTAGCTCCGTCAAATCTTTTAATCCGAGCGTGTGCTGCTATCGTGAAATCGTCCAAGCTATGCACCGAAGAATTCGAGGGTTGGAACAAAACCTTAAAGTTGATCCGAAGAGTCCTGGAGAGCGCGCTGGCGGACGGAAGTGCGGACAGTTTAATCCTAGTTCTGGAACTGATGGAAGGTGGAGATAAATGGGAGGTTTTACTATCGGAAGAAACTATTCAGCTTGCTAGGAATATTGCTCTAGGTAAGATTACACCGTATTGTATTTAGTCTCACAGGGGTCCCAATAAACACGGGAATTGAGAGACGACTTAAATAGCTTTTCTGATTTCTGATAATAAAAGTATCGTATAAAGATTGAACGTCTTATAAGCTTTCCAAAATTAGGTCTACCTTCTTTGTCTAGTTAGAATTGACATTTTCACACATACAGGTTTGCTGATTTGTAATAAACTGCAATCTGAATAAACTTTACTCCCTAAATTTTGAAATCGACAAAATGGTGGACTACATTTTGCAAATCCCGAATAATAGATTTCGGTGTTAAATGTTATAACTGCGTTAAAATAATCCCGCTTGGAACAAAGACTAAGTCTTCATTTAAATCCCATTTTTATTGAGACACCCTGAACCAGTTTGAATGATGAATTGTTGTCCTGCAGTTTCGAATATCTTCGGATTGTAATGAAACTAAACCGCACAAACTAACCTGACCCACGCGTTAATAAAAGTATCTGAAAATTAAAACTTTAATTTTTTTTTATAAAACTTAATATTATTCAGGTAACTGGGCTCGTGTTGAGGGATCTAAGTTTATCTCCAAACTATTGGATAATGCTGCTCGGATAGAACAAACTCTAGAGTATGCTCTCTTCCAACCTGGCGGGATACAATTAGAAATTGTAAATATCATCCTTGGAACCAAGTTCTCTGAAGATACTAAACCTGTGGTAAAGGAACAGCTTGAGAATCTTGTATTCCGGGTTTTAGTGGATGAATCTATTGCGGAGGAACGAAAATGTGCATTTGTCGAGAAACTTTTATCTGCCACCCCTCCCCTTGTATCCGCTAATGTGGAAACTGCAGCGTTAGCGTCAATTTTTTCAATTCCCTCTCCTGAAACCTTGAAATGCTGCGTTACTTTCATGCATAATCGTCCCAACATGTCCGCTAAACATATTCCTTTAATCTGTACTGCTGTTAGAGCACACTTGCATTATATTGAAATTAACTGTGATACTGAATCTAATTTTAAAATTTGCTCTGAACTATTGAATATACTGGGACTGACCAAACGGAAGAAAGATGATTGGGGATCAGTTGCTCCGTACCTTGTAGCTGATATACTCCATACCAATCTTCTGCTTGAAGATCAGAAATTAAAGCAATCTCTAGCGTCGGGAATTCAAACCTTATTGGATATTTGTGACAATCATACTCATGAATATCTCTCTGCAAACCTCTCTCCGGCTGCAAATGAAGTTTTTAAGATCAGTTTGGAAACGCACAAAAACCAGCACAAGTTCACTGCCAATACCACCTAAGACTAAAGTTTGTTATCATTTCAGAAGTAAAAAATGCCACGTGGTCCAAAGAAGCATTTGAAGCGTCTCAATGCCCCCAAGGCATGGATGCTGGACAAACTCGGAGGAGTGTTCTCCGTCAAGCCCAGCTCCGGACCCCATAAGATGTCTGAGTCCCTTCCCATCACCATCTTCCTAAGGTCGGTTTTTCAACCGCTTGATCATAAGATCGAGTTGGAACCTTACCATGGTTTTTCAACCGCTTGATCAATTTCAAGTCAATAGGTTAAGTATTGAGGTACAATTAACAATATCTAATAATCTGCTTGTTCACTTCTTGGAATGATTTATTTACCTGAACTAATGAAAGCATCTTTAATTTACTAAGAAAGATCTTGTCTTGATGATTACTTATATGCAGGAACCGTCTTAAGTTCGCCTTAAACATGAAGGAGGTCTCTACTATTGTGAAGCAGCGTCTTATCAAGATCGACGGTAAGGTGAGGACTGATCCCAAGTTCCCCACCGGATTCATGGATGTCGTCCAAGTTGAGAAGACTGGAGAAAACTTCAGGATTATCTACGACGTGAAGGGTAGGTTCACCGTGCACAGGATCACCGCACAGGAGGCCAAGTACAAGCTCTGCAAAGTCCGTGAGGTACGGTTATCTTAGTTTCAGGGTTTTCAAATGAGGGGGGGGGGATTGGCACAGTTCGAAAAAATATATATTTGAATTTATGTGACTCCGAACATGGATGGATTAGTATGTTCCATGATTTTATTTAAAATTTGGAATGATTTTATGCAGTGCTTAGGATTCATTTAATTTTGATGCGGATCCGCACTGGAAAAAAATGGATCCGGATCTAAATCCTGATTCGGATCCGGATTCAGGTCATTTCTTTATTTACTGAATTTTCAAATTTTTTGTTTTATTTTTTCGCTTCTTTGTATCCTAAAACTTGATAAACCATTCAGAAATAAGAAATTTTTATTGTCTCTTTTCTTTTTAAGAGGAAAAAAGTTTTTTTCCAGTTTTTGGTTGATATTTTATCCCTTGGATGCGGATCCGGATCCTAAGCACTGATTTTATGTCACGATTAGAGGGGTGGGGGAGTTGGCTGTCAAGTGATAAAATGTTGTCCTGCAATTTTGATATCTTTGGATTGAAATGAAACTGAAAAGCACAAATTTACCTAAACACTGCTCAATTGAATCAAACCATTAATTTTAAACTAGAAAATTTTATGAATTTTTTGTCTTAGGTTAAGACCGGTCCTAAGGGAGTTCCATTCCTGTACACCAGTGACGGACGTACCATCAGGTACCCTGACCCCGTCATTAGAGTGCACGACTCCATCCAGCTGGACATCGCCTCCGGCAAGATCCAGGACGTAATCAAGTTCGATTCCGGAAACCTCTGCATGGTGACTGGAGGACGTAACACCGGTCGTGTTGGCACCATTATGTCCAGGTAAATGGCATTCTTAAATACAAATTACTTATCACAAATGTGAAATCGGCCCACAAAAGAAGTGAACGCTAAAGATTTTCTATTCTCATTATTTTGCAATTATCCAGAAATTTCAAACAAATTTTAAAATATTTTTTCTTTTAAATGATGAATTGTTGTCCTGCAGTTTCGACAGTCTTCGGGATTGAAATGAAACGAAAAAGCACAATTAAACCTGAACAATTTTATCGTTTTTATCAGTGGTTTTGTTTTATACATAAACTGATTGATTTCTGTTTAGGGAGCGTCACTCTGGATCCTTCGATATTGTCCACGTCAAGGATTCTAACGGTCACGTGTTTGCCACCAGGCTGAACTACATCTTCATCATCGGTAAGCTTTTTCTTATTTTAAAAGTCTGTTTTTTTATGTGATCTTTAGTGTGAAGATGGCGAAGCCTGATTTACAACGGTATCTTTGAATTTATTGATCAAAATACCGTTTTTGAAACTAAAATATATTTTGATATTTAATTCATTCTTGGATCAGATAAAGCTTTCCAGGATACCGTTGTATCTGGCATTGCCATCTTTGCATGGATTTTCTTTGTTTATTGATCAACTATTAAGAAATAAAGAGGGGGGGGGGGGTATTTTTTTTAACTTTGAACGTTTAAGCGAGTGCGTAGTAAATACATATTTATAATATGTTTTGATCATTGCTTAGGATCTGGATCCGTTGGCTTAAGATTTTGGCTTCCTGGATCCAGATCCGCAAAAATATGCGGATCCACGGATCCGGATCCAAGGGGTAAAACAAACCAAAACCTGCACAAAAATCTTTTACTCCTATAAAAAGAGTTTATAAAAATTCCTCGTTTCTGAATGGTTCTATCACGTTTAAGGATAAAAAAGCGTGAAAAAAATTATAATTTGAAATTTTTTTAATTATCTGGATCCGGATTTGATTTTTCCAGTGCATCAAATTTATATGGATTCTAAGCACTGGTTTTGATTTATTAGTTGCTCGAATCAGATTCAGTTATTTTTATTTATTCATATTCGTTCAGGTAAGGGGAACAAGCCCTATATCTCCCTCCCCAAGGGCAAGGGTATCAAGCTCACCATCGCCGAAGAGAGAGACAAACGTCTGGCCCAGAAGTAGACTGGCTCTTATTCTGTTATATATATTTATAACTGAAGCATGTGCAAATAAAAATATAAAACTTATTTTTCTTATTTTAAATGAGGACTTGAAGATTTTCTTACTTAAATACCCACCTAATGATTGTTTTTAAACCAATCTGAAGCTTAGTTCTTATATTTCTTAGTAGTAGTTCGGTTACTTGTAACTCTTAACTTTTAATATGTGGTCAAAAACGTAAGGTTGCAAAAATGTAGGAATTAATAAATATTACTTTTTTACGTACTCGTGGACAGATAGATTTGAGAAGTGGTACAGTATTTGATAATTGGCCACTGCTCAGAGACTTCTAATTTCGATGGAAGATACTTAGTTATGATGATGTATCCCTAATGGATCGAATTAAAAAAAAAAAAAAAAAGAATTCGTATTAATGTTCATTAAACATCTAAAATTAATGACTCCGAACTAAATGCGCACTTTGTTTAAAACTTGTTTAAATGGATTTTTTTAAATTATGTATTCCAATTAAGATCCATAATGTGGTTCTTGCATAATGTGTAGTTAGGTCAGTTAGGGAGGGAACTCTCGGATGCCTTGAGCCTCCGCTTTGTAGACACGAGCTTCACAGACTTGCTTGGCTGACCGAGCATCTGCTATGCAGTTAACAAACCTTCATCATGCAGCGCAGCAGTTTTTAAACCTTGGTTTTTTTATGTGTATTGAAAAATTTTAAACTTAAACTTAAACATTTCCTACGAAGAAAGGAAGATGTTAGGGGAAATATTTCTGGAGTTAACTTGGTTCGTTTTGTTGTAATCTTTGGTTTAAACAATCTCTTTTTGATAAATTTTAAGATTTAAATACGAAAACGAAAAATGTTAAGTTTAAAATGCCATTGTATTATTCTTACTCTTTATAATTGATAAATACTTTATCTTTGTGCAACTTCTCATGCCACTATGAACAAATTTGAAAGTAATCTTTCATGTAAACTTCAAAACACAGATTTTATAGACGTCATGGTATCTATCATAAAATAAACTTATTCATCATATTTTTGTTTTGTTTTTGTTTCGCTGAAATAAGCGATAGTTAAAAAAAATTCTGGTCCAAAAACATGTGAAGATGGCCTATTTGACGGGTTGACGATAATCTTGACGAAAACAGTTTTGGAACACTAAGAACAAATCATTCTTAAATAAAAGCGTTCATTTTGGCGTGCGATTACGTATAAAAAAAATAAACACTGCCTAAAAAAATATGAATAATTTTCAGGCTTAATACAATTGCCTATACAAATCAAGAGATTTTGCCCTGTGTCGCAATACGTAGCATAAAATGTATAGATTAATTCTTCATCCAATTAAGAATCGTCTCGCGATCAAATTTAGATTTCGGGGTGAACTGATAAAATAATTGTTAATTCTAAATTAATCTCGATTTATTTCAGTAATAACATTAATTACAAATTATTCACACACAAAATGAATCGCAATACTTTATAATGTAATTGAACGTACATTGTAATTATTTATTTGAGACTATATACAGGGTGTCCCACGAAACATGACAATAGCAAGACGACTTGATATTTGAATTTATTTGTGACATTTAGTCTTCTATCTACTTTAACATGTATGATTCTTGAAACAATTATCACACAATTCTCCTAGCCCTGGCATTTCCAAAAAGTGGTCTGCGTTTTTTGTGCTTTCAATATTACCGGAGATATAAAGAATTTGGTTCAGATTTCAATTTTGTTAAATAAAAGCAAAATTGTCGAAATCTAAACGAAATTGTTCATATCTCGGGCAATATTGAAAGCACAAAAAATGCAGACCACATTTTGGAAATGGCAGGACTAGGGGAATTTTTTGATTATTATCTCTAGAAATTTACTTCTAAAATTAGGTTGACAAATAAACGCAGCAAATTATATCAAAAATCAAGACGACATTCAAGGCCTCTTGCATACTGTCATGTTTCGTGGGACACCCTGTATGTAGATTATAGAGTTCATTGGGAATAATGAACTGCAGAACGTGTTGGTACCAAATTATTATGTATATAATAAAACTACTAGTGTTCAATTTAAAACCATTAAAACCCATCATCGTAAATTTTTCAATGTAAAATCTAACTTATAAATAAATAGTCGTTTTAATATAATCTAAAAATTAGCATACTGTTTTGCCCCGGGCCGTTATCATGTTGTAACGCAAATATAATGCTAATGATCCATAATTAAAGTTTTTTCTAGAATTTTCCCATGTAAACTTAATTAAATTTTTCACAGAAATAATATATATATGTTAATACTTACTTAATCAAAATTAATAAGCTTAAAACAAGAACAACTAATCTAAATTCCTTTAATGTTAAATATTCTAAGTATTTCTTGCCAGTTCAAAAATTGTGGGTTATTTCATGGAGCCTTTTTTGTAGTTTAGAAATTAAAGATTATTCTAGACTAATTCTTAGCTCTAGATTAATTCTTAGTTCTAGATTATTCCAGAGTTCCTTACTGCTAGATTATGCCAGAGTTCCTTGGTTCTAAATTATTCCAGAGTTCCATAGTTCTAGATTATTCCAGAGTTCCATAGTTCTAGATTTTTCCAGAGTTCCATTGTTCTAGATTATTCCAGAGTTCCATAGTTCTACATTATTCCAGAGTTCCATTGTTCTAGATTATTCCAGAGTTCCATAGTTCTAGATTATTCCAGAGTTCCATTGTTCTAGATTATTCCAGAGTTCCTTTCCTCGGGTTTCTGAGAAGAACCAGTTCCTCGCTTGATGTTGGATGAATAGCAACACAGTTGTCAAAATCTTTCTAGAATAGTAAATCATGAAATTATCAAGATTTTTTGGTTAATAATAATATTAAGTAGATGCGGAGGGGTATCATTTCTTAAATGGTATAACTAATTAATGTAATTTTTAACTATTACAAAACTAAAAACTTTGTTTTGAAAAATTTAAAATGCCCTTTTACACTCGTGCATGATGTATACTATATGTGTATTAAAATAAAATGTGAACCAGATAAAAAAAGAAAAGAAATTCTCGTCGTCTTCCTTTTTATACAGCTTATTTGGACTAAAGTTCAAAAGGACTGTAGCCTTCTTGAATAGATATTTATGCAATTGAACTAATTTTCTAAATTGAGCTCAACAAGGACGCCATTCGAAACACCATATTCTTATTTCTTAAAGTGGTCACACACACAAAATGGAAATCAAAGCTGCCATAAAATAAATTAATTATGAACTAAATGAACAGGGTTGGGGCTTACTCACAAATGATGTCGAGATTTTAGTGACGACTTTCAACTGTTTGCATCACAATTAAATGTTGAACTTGGGTTCCGTCCTTAATATGGTCTTTTAATAGTATCATCAATTAGTTTGCAAAGAAAGAAACAAGTTTACAGCTCTAGGTATAAAAATAAGACGGAATCTATTATGTACAGGGTGTCCCAAAAAACATGGGAATTCAGTGACGAATTCGATATCGTCTTTGTTATGAATTAGCATTGTAATACCTAATTACAAAAGCCATAATATTATTATGTCTGCTAGAGTTTATTTAATGAAAAGGGTAAAAGACTGCAAAGATGTGTCAATAATGTCTCCGCAAGATGAACATGTGAATACGGACAAGTTTACTCTGTTTGTATACTGTAATTTTCTTGTTTTACTAAGTAATCCGGTTGCAGTCAAAACATAAACAAACAAAATGTAAACATAGCAGACGAAACTCTTACAGATTACAGCTTTCTCAGTAGGTATCACTATACTAAATCAAAGAATTATTTGAAAAGACGATATCGAATTCGTCACTGAATTCCCATGTTTTTTGGGACACCCTGTATATTATGTTTACAGCTCTAGGTATAAAAATAAGACGGAATCTATTATGTATAATTGTGTCTCAAGTCTCATTCTTTGTGGTTAACCCTGTATATTCCAGTTTTAACCCTGAAGTGAACCCTTCTTAAACTAAATATTATTTAATCTAAATATTTTAATGAACACATATTTACCTTTGTTGCCCCCATACGGATAGCAACTCCAAACCCTTGAAGCATTTCATCAGCTCCCCGACCCACAATATGCAGACCAACTACCTTCTCATCAGCACCAGCACATACTACCTTCATACCACTAGCCTATACATATTAATATCTTACAGTTGTACGCGACGTAGACATCAAAAGAATTTATAAAATGTCTTCTTGACATTTGTCAATAGTAATTATACTTTTTTACCTAAATCTTAGTAATTGTAAAAATAAATAAATAGCCATAAAATCTGCGTTAACTATTTTGAAAAAATATATCTGCAGCATTCTATATCAGTAGGTTAAGTTTTTGGGTTAATCTGTACATTATTGGTTGATGAAACATCAAACTTACATAATTTGATCAAAAAGTTTCACAGTTTAGACTATCAAAGCTAGAGCTCTTGATAAAAATAAAATAAACTTAGCCTCTGTGACAAATGCTCAGTTCCTTAACCTCTAAAAAATACCGATTTTTTACCATTATAGTCTAGAAAAAATAAAAATCGTTGAAATATTCTTTTAAATTGAACTTTTTCCTAAAACAAAAAACTGTCTAAACGAGACAGGTTTCCTCAAATCATGTCTAAGAAAACCCTTAAAAAGTATTATTTTAAATCATTGTCTATTTCAATTGTATTCATTTTCTCTTTGTATACATTGTAAAACTATAACAAAAAAAGTTCGCGGTCCAAAAATTTCGTAAAATTTAATAAAAATCCTAGGCTAATTTTTAAAATGTTAAAATCCATAAACCTTCCCTGGGGTCATGTGAAGTTGCACACAAAATTTGTGCCCGATGAGGGGTAAAGACAAACCGCACCCGCAGTTTACTCACGAACATAGAATTGCGGCAACGCATGAACCCAAAGCGCTTCCTAAGCCGCACCCCTATCCTTCGGCAGAATGTCTTTCGATTTTCTCCTAAAATATAATATTTTGTAGACGGCAATGCTGATATTAATCTTCTCTAAAAATGTTTCTGAAGGAAGAGAGAAATTCAATTTTTACCAGAAATAACACAGTTTTGGGTGCAATCGGTTTAAAATTATCTAAATCTATCTATCTAACTATCTACCTGATTTTAGATAATTTATTAAGACTAATGTTCAAAATAACCATCCTAAAATATGTTTTTTAATAATTTCATATTAACAAGATTTAATTTATATTTGTTTAAATGCTCTAAAAGCCCTCTTGTGAACAGCTGCCTTTAATTCATTCGGATATTAGTCCAATCGATATAGCATTATATCTGTAATTGTTATCAAACGTTATAACTTTTATACAGTAGAAATATCCAAAAAGAGGATTATACGAAGAAAATCAAAAGTACATTGGATAATCAGATTAAGCGATCGTGATTAAGGATATCTAATCGTTCTCCTTAAATCTATTTAATTGAAATGTTTTGTTATTATTATTAAAATTATTTGGAAAAAATAATCAAAACAGCCAAGAGCTATTTTCCACATAATTGCTTTATACTTGTACTGTTAATATATTCATCAATTTGTATTTGTAAATTCGTTCTGTATACAGATACATGTATTTTAGCATTAAACTTTACCTTATCTTATCTTATCTTATCTCATTTTAAAGTTTTCAACTCAGATTGGACATGGTTGTAGCGCGCATATTCTTACACCAATTTTTCCGCTATATTCATTTCTGAGAATTAATAATATGTACTTTACTAATTATGGAATGGCTTCGTATTACACAATTTCACGTAACTACGCCTTAATTACGTGAAACTAGACTTTCTTTCGCATACACAATTAACAACCATGGAAACCCTACAGTCCGTACCTTCAAAAACATTTTAGAACAGATCAACATCAGCAGGCATGTACAAAATATTACATTTTAGAAGAAAATCGCATCAAATCACAGTTTTTTACTAAAAGGAACTGAGTTCTTGCCACAAATTCTAATATTCAAATCCCTACATCTTTCCAACCAAAAGTCGTAGACCTTTACTATTTCAAACTATGAATTCTGTTGGAATAAATAATCAAAGTTTTAAATATCAAAGGTTTAAAGTTACATCAATCAAGTTGCTAAGAAATAGGGATTAGAAACTATGACTTTTTGGTAAAGACTCATTCCTTTAACAAGTATTGCCCCATTGAGCGAGAACGTTTACTCATATTACCAAAAAAATATGATTACGATGCCATGACGTCTTTAAAATCTTAAATTAACGCCGAATTTTTCTATGATAAGCATTTAAAAGTAAAGACATTTTAACGGAGGATATAGGGTTGCGGATAAGGAATCGCTATGGGTGAGCGCGTTGCCGCAACTCTATGTTTGTGAGTTACTTGCGGGATGGAGGCTATACGAGTGCGGCTTGCCTCCCCCCCCCCCCTCGACCGATCGGTTCAGGCAATTTGACGTTTAATGGATAAAAACAGACAGACAGACACGCAAAGTATTTTCAAATGATTTTAAATAAATAGAAATTTTTGGATTTTTGGAAATTCTTTCTTTTGTTATAAAACATGTTAAAGAAACTAAAACATTTATTAGTCTTTAAATAAAACTTCCATGGTAAAATATTTTTATGAACATTTTCCACAAATCATCTTTTTATCATAAAAATAAAAGTTTGCCAAATGTAAACCGAGGTTTATCCAAACTGAAAAATCATGAGATTGCAAAAAACTTAAAACCTGTTTTCTGGTTGTAAGAGAGAAGTACATAGCTCCGAATTTTGTTTGATAAACATTCACATTCTCAGCTCCATACTGGAGAACAGCTTCATGTTCAGACAATCCAATACTACCAACCTAAATATTCAAATAGGTTTCGTTTTACCCTTTGCAACACTGATTCACAATCTTGGATTGCGAAAGGTTGTAAAAAATGTCCGTCATATTTCCATAGTTTAGTGTTGGGATTTCTACACTTGGGTTTTTGTTGATTGTGTGGAGTTAGTTCCACACTTGAGTACTTATAGGGACTGTAAAGGAAAAATAAAAGGGGGTACATAATAAAACCTGAGAATCTCAGACGTTGAACGATACATATGCTCTTGTCTCGAGAAATTGCTATAAAACTGTGTCAAAATTATACGAAAATCTATATATATGAAATTATGTATAAAAGTAGTAGGTTTAAACAGATCACATTCAGTAAATACGCAATCAATCTAAAAACGATTAAATCCCACAGAAACCTGAGAATCTCAGGTTTGCTCCCATTATAATTTTTTAATTTTTATTTTGCATTTTTAAGAGATATAATTGATAATATTATTTAATTACGTCACAAGAACTTCCGCCAATGAGAGTGCAGTATACTGGTCACTTGATACAGACGGCAATCACGTGATCAGTATACTGCATTGCCATTGGCTGAAGTTATGGTGACGTAATACGGACTATATGTAATAATATTATCAATTATATCTATTAAAAATACAAAATAAAAACTACATGATTATAACAGGAGCCAACCTGAGATTCAGTTTTCTGTGGGATATCGTCGTTTTCAGATTGGTTTCGTATTTGATGAATAAGATCTGTTTTTTACTACAAATTTTATACAAAACTTCATACACATGAATTTTCGTATAAATTTGACACAGTTTTAAATCAATTCTCGAGACAAGAACATCAGAAATATGTCTAAAATGCATCGTCCAACGCCTGAGATTCTCAGGTTTCATCCTATACCCCCTTTAACTTTTCCTTCACAATCCCTTTAATTAATGGGACAATTCTAATAAAAGTTACAGGGTGTCCCACGAAACATGACAGTATGCAGGACGACTTGAATGTCGTCTTGATTTTTGATATGATTTGCTGCGTTTATTTGTCAACCTAATTTTAGAAGTGAATTTCTAGAGATAATAATCACAAAATTTCCCTTGTCCTGCCATTTCCAAAATGTGGTCTGCCTTTTTTGTGCTTTCATTATTGCCCGAGATATGAAGAATTTCGTTCAGATTTCGACAATTTTGCTTTTATTTAACAAAATTGAAATCTGAACCAAACTCTTTATATCTCAGTAAATATTGAAAGCACAAAAAACGCAGACCACTTTTTAGAAATGCCAGGGCTAGGAGAATTATGTGATAATTGTTTCAAGAATCATACATGTTAAAGTAGATAGAAGACTAAATGTCACAAATAAATTCAAATACCAAAGACGACTTTCAAGTCGTCTTCCAATTGTCATGTTTCGTGGGACACCCTGTAGATGGAAAAGGGAAAATTGTTCAGCTTTTAAATGGAAATACTACTGAGGCTCTGTGGTCTCCTGTATAATAAACCTACCGGAGGATGAGAGAAGACGACAATATACCTACCGGAGGATGAGAGAAGACGACACTTGGAATATTCTCGTAATCAAGTTTACTCTCAGCCTGCCCTGAACAATCAATTAATCAATCAATTAATCTTTATTAAGTTTAATCAATTTAAATTATTTTATAATGAATAATAATGAGTATATTTTACAAACAGGGGAATAAAATGATTATTATTGAATCTAATAACACCAATAACATTTTTTAACACATGTTGGCCAAAATTGTCAGATTTTAAGCTATAAGTTTTTTTTAAATATGAGGAGTGAAGACGTTTAAAACCCCAGATTATTACAGTCTTTTTTTTATTTAAATCAAAGAAGATTTTATGTCGTCAATCATTCTCATGTTTATTGTGACCCATGTACCTCCGAATAATCTGTCTGCTAGCCGTCTCCCAGCTGCAATTGCGACCGGGGTAAGAAGAGCCTAATTAACAAATATTTTTATAGAATATAGACGGTTCAGCCACTTTTCTTTATGGCTGGTTCAACTCTTTAAATTTTAAACTATCCTAGTTGGTTTAAATCTTGAATAACCGATTCAAAGTTAAAGATTCAGGTGATTCAGGATAATTGAACTGGCTATAGGTAGTTCAGTAACCTCTCCAATTCATTAAATTCGGTCCCAGGATGAAACCAAGGAAGATGAAGTTTTTCCTCCTCTTTGAGTACATGTGAACCCACAGGAAACCATAGATTTTACTGATTAGAGGGGTTCTGAGTCCCCCATCTAAAAATACAATAGCTAGCCTAGTCAGTAGTCAACCTAAACTGAACTTATTCTAAAAATACAATAACTAGCCTAGTCAACCTAAACTAAACTTAATCTAAAAATGCAATAACTAGCCTAGTCAACCTAAACTAAACTTATTCTAAAAAAGTCAACAGAATTAATTTAGGTTTTTTAAACCAAGCTAAGAACATTTCAGTAGTTTGACCAATTTTCCAAAAAAAAATTTGTCAAAGTGGTCAAGGGGTTACTCAGTTGTGATCTGACATACAAACAAACAGACAGACAATCAGAGATTACTACTTTATATTTATAGATAATGATAAAACTAGGTTATTTTTTTTGTCAATTTTTAACAGTAAATAGTAAATACCCATTTCTATTCAGACACATTTAGGAATAGTTTCATTAGAAAAAAGTTTAAGCAGTTGTAATGTAGAAACCTAAAGTTGACATTTTAGCTCTTTGTATTCTAATTGTGTTAAAAACTTCCCTAATAATGCTGTAACGCCGATTTGACCATTTGATTTGACTGGGATTCAAAAGTACGGATATATTAAGGAAAAGCTTTCCGAAAAGTCAGCCTTTCAGAAAAAAAAGCAAAAATTATTTTGGCAAAAAGTATTGAATAAGCTTTCCCCTTGGAGAGATCATTGACTGGTTAGTATGGCTTTATTGTATTCCGAGTTCAAAATGTGAATAAGTAAGTCCATATGTTCTAAAGGTTTAACGGGTTCCGTTTAAACATGGATTTTACTTTTGATGAAATAATTCTGGTTTAAAACATTAACTCCTTCTAATATTTTGACTCGAGAATTCTATTCTTAAACTATCAAATATCTTGAGTGTAACCAAATTTTCACTTCATTATGAAATGTATTTAATCAAAATAGAGAAAGGGTCATTGATGCACCAACTTTGGAAAATTCCATTCCAATATAAATTTAAATCAAATCTCTACCTTGTTTAGAATATTTTAAAACCTTCCCAATCTCATTTTGTTAGGTTTACCTTCCCTGCGACATCTCCTACGGCATAAACAGCAGGAATGTTTGTAGCTTGGAACTCATCAGTAATTATATTTCCAGCATCATCCAGCTCTATACCAGCCTATACAGATATATACATATAAAGATATACATATACATATATATACATATACATATATATATATATGTACATATATATTATACACTGTACAGATATACAGATACACTAGATATTCATTTCAGCGAACACTCCCTTTATGATTAAAAAATGAGTGGACATTGACAGTTTGCAAGGATCAGAGACAGATAAGGTCGGATTTTATAATAATAAGAAGTAGTTAGACTATGTGTGGTTAGCTCGTGACCATTCAAAAAGAAGTAGTTCGTCTGTACGTTCTTAGTTTAACGATAAACCTGGTCCAACTTTACATCCTCATGATTTGTCCGATTTCAAAACTAAGGAATTGAGTCTTTGCCACAAACTCTGATTTTCTAATCCCTTTATATTTGCAATCCAATGCCGCAACCCTTAGTTGACTATGAATTCTGTTATATCAAATAATCATAGTTTGGAAATTAATATCAAAGGTTTACACCATATAAGGGTGCAAAAATATAGGGAATAGAAATTTTGAGTTTGTGGCAAAGACTCAACTCCTTTTTATAGCTTCAAATGGGATTTCCAATACTTCAGATAACTTGCAATTAAAAATTAAGCCAGAGATAAGTCGGAAAACGTTATAGATTTTCATCTAAAGAAAATGACCTGTAAGAATATCTATTTCTGTATATGTATTGTACTTAATATTACAAAGTGTAGAAAACAGATACTTGTATATTATTATAATAAACAAGAACATGCATGGTAATGTATGTGTGTGAAGTATTATAATATGAATATATGAATATATTGAAGATATGTAAAATATAATATCAATATACTGATTAGAATTAATGGAAACCATCTTCAATTAACAAGACAAGCTTTCATCTTCTACATGAAGACTGGCATAGCATTAGCATTAGTAACATTTCACCTTGCACAAACTCGCCTTATAACATTTCGCATTGATAACATATGAAGAGGTAAAACAAGCCTTGACATTTTTATTTTTTTAATTCAAGTAGAAGAATTGAATATCATTCGTATTACCGGTCTGATTTAAGAATGTCAACATTGGAAGAGTCAAATCAACTTATGTAAACCCAGAGCATCCATTACACTCTAAAAGAAGCTGCATTTTTTTATGCGTAAAATATAAATATGTCAATGAAATAGTTCATTAATTGGGTGGGCCCGACATAATCTGAAATATTGGATAAAATCTACTTTGCAGGAAACATAACAAAAGAAATTGTTCTTTATTTTTAAAGAAAGAGAGCAAACTCAAGGCGAATTTTTCCTGTAATGTTATCAAGGCGAGTTGTGATAAGGCGAATGGTGTACAAGGCAAGTTGTCATAGGGCGAATGGTGTACAAGGCAAGTTGTGATAAGGCGAATGGTGTACAAGGCGAGTTGTGATAAGGCGAATGGTGTACAAGGCAAGTTGTGATAAGGCGAATGGTGTACAAGGCGAGTTGTGATAAGGCGAATGGTGTACAAGGCAAGTTGTGATAGGGCGAATGGTGTACAAGGCGAGTTGTGATAGGGCGAATGGTGTACAAGGCGAGTTGTGATAAGGCGAATGGTGTACAAGGCGAGTTGTGATAAGGCGAATGGTGTGCAAGGCGAGTTTTCACAAGGCAAAATGTTATTAAGCCAAAATTGGGATAATAATGTGTCGTTTTAACAGCTCAGCTTTGTTTAGATTGGCATGACGAGGCCGGGTGAGTGACTTCAATATATTTTTTTAACAAAAGAGCCAAAAGAATCAAACAACAAGAGAGCAAAATTAGTGATTAAATAAAAAGAAATGCATGAAAATTATGTCAGAATTAAGTGCAGAGTAATTTCATTTAAAAAAGGTTTTCAAGGGAGCTTAGTATTAATGTTTCTGTATGTTAATTAAATACTAGGCTTTCAGAGCTGAAAACTTTAGAATGGTGGATATCGGGATTAAGGCTTAATCCTCTCTTTTTCTTCATCTCGAGATTAAATATTGCTTGTTCTCCACTCATTTTTAATCTCCAGATTAATTATCCAATCAGGATTAAGGATATCCCATTCTAAAGTTTTCAGCTCAGGGCGCTTAACGCGTCCATCTTCCTTTTCAATTGTAAACATTTTCTCTTTTTGTACATTGTAAAACAAAACCAAGCAAAAAACTTCGCGGATTTTATAAAAAAATTTGTGGATTTTCAAAATCTTATGGAAATCAAATTTAATTAGAGGCAAATTTATTTTTATTTTGTTCATTCATAAACCTTCCCTGAAGTCCCACAAAAAATTTAGGCCGGATCGGTTCAGCCGTTTGACGTTTATTGGAACAAACAAACAAACAAACACCCAGACAAGCAAAGTATATAGATAGATATGAATATATTGAATAATGTATTTTTATAGAAAATAATATTTTGATACTAACTTATAAACCTTTGATATTAATCGATAACATTTTAAACATTAACTTTAAGATTCCTAAAACTAATTCAATTGAAATACAAAATTGCTAAACTTAAAGAGTTTCAATGGAAATTATCAAATTATATTACCTTTAAAGAATTAAATTAATAAATCAAGAATTTCTGAAGTAAATTCAATTAAAATGCTTATATTCTAAACATGAGATTGCATGATATGAATTTTATTGTATATATATATATATATAGATCATCTTTAGGATATATATTTATATTGGAAAAGTATGAACGATAAAGGAACTATTATAATTATCCAATAATATATAAAGTTGTTGACTTTTAAAAAAGTCAATACGATAAAATAAAAGAGATCTAACGGTATTTCTAATCTTTATTTATTAAAACAAAAGGTTATGAAATATTTTCCCAAGTGGGGCTTAAATTGATTGGTTTAGAAATTAATAAAGAAACTATAGACGAATATCAGTTAGAAGGTGTTTGTAGAACTTCATGATGGTGATGCAGATCATCAATCTTGACGGCAGGCTTTCTCACAACTAGGCTTAGTCTAAGGGAGAGAGATTGCGGACTTATCCTGTATACAGGATAATGGAAGGAAGTCTGGTTCCGCCCGGATCTCTGGAACATTGCGGAGCGAACTATTGTTACCTTCTCCTGCGGAGCGAACTATTGTTACCTTCTCCTGCGGAGCGAACTATTGTTACCTTCTCCTGCGGAGCGAACTATTGTTACCTTCTCCTGTGGGAGGGAGAGATTGCGGACTTATCCTGTATACAGGATAATGGAAGGAAGTCTGGTTCCGCCCGGATCTCTGGAACTTTGTGGAGCGCGGAGCTAGGTGTAAGCAGTGTCTTCTGTTGTTGGTTCCGTATCTGAATCATCATCACAAAGGAGCCAGGGTTGAGACGGAGTTGTGAATCTCGTGAGTGTTTTCCGCTGACTGACTGGTGAAGCGGGAGCTAGGTTGAGCGGAGATTTGACATGTGGGGTGTGTTGTATGGCGGAAAAGGATTCTGTGTATTCAGTGTACACACACATCCAGGGAATTGACATCGGCATTTGAGTCGGAACAATCGTCTTCCTTATATTTCGAATTTGTTTTAACAAAAGTAGATAATATTCCATGCTGCAGGAACTAGTTAATGGAATACTGATTATCTCCTTCATATATTAGATGTATACAACTAGAGAATTAGGGCGCTCCACGCCCCATTTCTATTGTATAACATGTCGTAGATCTTGTAAATCTGAAACTATGAATTCTGTCAGATCAAATAAATCAAATACTGAATTCCTATTCATTTTACGGCTGTTTTCATCTTATTCAAATGTTTCCCTTATTTTTTTATGAAAGCACATTTTAATATTATTCTGTTAAACGTACTAAAATTAAAAATGAAAATTCAAGTATTTTGTTATGCTGCACCTCGGTCTCTCTAAATTTAACTAGTAATCCCCAATCCCTGACTTATTGTAAACTTTCAAAACCTAGTAATATTCATCATATTGTAAACGTTTTAATATTAATTAGGTGGGCATAATACCCAAAACAGCAAATAGCTAATCTCCACCTAATTGCTAGAATTACATAAATATAGTAAACAATATAAAAATAGTTCCAGATTTTTTGCCTGTAAAATTATAGCTTGTATGTGTATTTTTAGCAATAAACTATATCTTATCTTATCTTATCTTATCTTATCTAATCCTGACGAACCCTTTCACTAGGTCAATATATAATTAATAGATAAACAACTTCAATTCAACTTGACCTGGCGCATGAAAGTGATTCAACTACTTCGCGCTCTTCATTAAATCTGGACCCTGGTATGGACCTGGCCGATTCTTCGGTTTTTATTTAATTTAGTCGAACAAAATATTTTGTGTATCCAATGGAGTAAAACTTTTAAATGGGATAGCAGTAAGCTTCAGCGACTGATCACGATATCCAATGCAAAACTTTTTAAAAATCTAAAGAAATGTTTGCAACCCAACGTTTACGTCGCAGACCTTAGATATTTCAAACTATAAATTCTGTTAGATCAAATAATCTCAGTATGAAATATTTATTCCATCAGGATGCAAAGATTCATGGAATAGAAAACTTGAGTTTGTGCCATCAACTCAGTTTTTTTTTGTCACAGCCCTCTGAATGTCATAAAGTTGGGCACTGCCACCATGTATGCCATGTAGAAACATGTTGTAAATATTTTAACTAACCTAAGTACAATCTACAGTATCTGTACCAGGTGTTCTACCAACAGTAACTAACCTTAGTACAATCTACAGTATCTATACCAGGTGCTCTACCAACAGTAACTAACCTTAGTACAATCTACAGTATCTGTACCAGGTGCTCCACCAACAGTACCTAACCTTAGTACAATCTACAGTATCTGTACCAGGTGTTCTACCAACAGTAACTAACCTTAGTACAATCTACAGTATCTGTACCAGGTGCTCTACCAACAGTAACTAACCTTAGTACAATCTACAGTATCTGTGCCAGGTGCTCTACCAACAGTAACTAACCTTAGTACAATCTACAGTATCTGTACCAGGTTCTCTACCAACAGCCCAGAGTACAGAGTTTACATTCTCCTCTATCCCTCCATCCTCTAAGCAGCAGATACAATTTATTGAATTCAGGGAGGGTCGCGCCTCTTTTTATGCATGGTAAAATGAGAAACCAGAAAACACTGGATTTCTCGTCGTCTCCTTTTTTCTCTTAATTTGGAAATGTTGCGAAGGATTTTTTAATTTGCAAAAAAGACCAATTTCATTTTTTTGATTTATCAGTTGCTACAATTGCAAATTACAAAATTCATTTATTCCACAGTTTTCCTTTGTAGTTGTTTTTTCTATCTTCGGTCGTTTTCATTTTAAAAATCTTTTTAAATACACGGTAACTCAGATGTCCACATTTAACTTTTAGTCGTATTTAAAAAAGATGTTTGTATTCTATATTTTGATTTTTCTAATGGGCGAAATCCTTTAAATATATTTAAGTTAAAAAGGTCAATTTTGTTCTCTATTCGTTTTTTTTTTTGATAATATTAATTGAGGTTATTGCGATGCAGCCAAGATCTAGTTAGTTTCGCGTGAGCCAGATTCCATAATTATATTCGGTTCAGCCGTTTTTATCGAACCACCGCATTTTACAATATCCCTTGTTGTTCCTATGTTAGTATTGTATATGAATAAAAATCAATAAAGCAATGCACTGAGTTTCTCAAATATTCAA